AAAAATGAGCAAGAAACATCCGAAAATACATAAAGAAGACCTGGGAAATATTTATTTCTTCCGCCTCTTTGTTCAGCTGAAATCTATTCATTTTATAGGTTAAACTAAATCTTTTAAAAAATTTTATAGGTTAAACCTTTCAGCACTCACTATAGCAAAATTGCATGTTTACAAGCTAATAATAGCGTTACGGTTTATCATTTCTGAAGTTACAAACCTTCGAATGGCTCCTTTTTCCGCACTTCTCCCTATTAATATATCCTATAAAATAGAAATTAGATAGATTTTAGACCAAGAAGTTCACTTTCCTGTACAATTGAATAGTCTAGTCCATTGAGTTCAATTTCATCCAGTTATCCTTCTCAGTTGATTACTGGAATGCTCTCATGGTCAACAAATTCCATTATTCATTCTTGAGCAACATCATAAACCGATGGATCTAATGGAACTGAAGCATTTTTCGTCTTCATTGCATGAATTCACTTTTGTATGTTTGACATATCAAAGATAGCAGCATTTAACATGTAAACAGGTCGTAAGAACTGGTAATAATCTAATTTTAATTTCAAAATGAAAAAAACAGACAAGAGGAATGGTAATAATCTAATTTTAATTTTAAAATGAAAAAAGAAGCTATATTCAAAATCTTAATTGATAACCGCACCCTAAGCTTTCTCAACAACCACCGAAGTTTTTTCTTTTCTTTTTTCTACTGTAGGCTTTAAAAAGCTGGAAGTGAGAAGTAAAATTAGCCGATACTTTTGTCTTTGAAAGCAGCGATTGTTAAATCTTGAGCAGTCAATGATTTGTTAAACCTTGTCACGTATATCACTCTTGATATTCGATTTGATGTGGTCAATCACTATTTTAAATTATTCCGAGTTCAATGAAATTAGAAATAGAAAATGAAAGGAAGTTTACAATGAAAATTAGTATTACCAATAGTGACAAGTGACAAATAACAAGTGACAAGTGACCAATAGAGCGCTGTTCGAACGGTCTGTCAAAATTAAACAAATTGTTTAAAGTCCACTTCATTTCAAACTGAGTTCTCCCTCCCCTCTAATTTACGATTTTATATCGAAAAAAATGCTCTTACTTTCTGTTCTCATGCAAGATATAGCTATCTTGATACTTCGTCAACCCTTACAGTACTGTAGTACCATTACTCGCCATCGTCCACTTCCTCCTCTCTCCAAACATTGCTGATTTCAAAACGGCATATAATGAGAAAGGAAATTGTCACAGAAACCCAAACAAATCGACACAAATTGCGTCATTGTTAAGCAGCAATACTTTGTTTTTTGGTTTCAACAAAATTTCATGGACTGCAACTGTGTGACTGTGTGATGTGGTGTGAAAATATTTGTACCAGAGGGTGCGTTATTAAAGAGAGAGTTGTTAATGATTATTGAGGGGAGGTATAGGTTTGACTTCGGTTGATATTTGCAGGACGTGCAGAGTTTTTGAAAGTTGAGTTGTATTTATGGAATAGCTTAGGACTTGTTTAAGCATTCTTCATATATCTCTGAACTGTGGGTATTATAACTTGCTCTGGTTCATAATTGTTTGAGCAGTAGGTTGTTGTAGATAATGTGACCTCTTATATCGCGAGATTTAAGGTTTCAGGCCAAAAAAGTTTTTTGTTTAGTTTCAGATTGTAAGGGAAATCTTAGAATTTGTTTGAATGTATTTTACAAGTTGGGAAGAATTTAGTAAAGCTGTCGATCGGTTGTATGCCAGCAACCCAACACGATGCAGGTTTACTTATTGACAGAATTTTAAAAGTCATCTCTGAGGAAGTTTGAAAAAGTTAATATTGAATACCGGAATCATAATACCTCTTTTTTTTAGTGTGGAAGCTTTTTATGATGCATTCATTGTTTTTAGGAAGTTTCTTTCTCTTCTTGAAATTAGAATACATTAGCAGATTTGCATTTCCAAAAAAATAAGCGATTGTTAAACCGCTGGGTCAGAAACATTCGTCTTCTGACCGCTGGGTCAGAAACATTCGTCTTCATAATCAGTTGGTAGATTGAAGAAAACGGTTCGACAGCTTGTTTTACGACTCTATCTACTAACCGATGAGTCATATCGTTAAGGAAGATGAACTACTTATTTAGCTCCAACAAAGTTTGTGGTCAGCCAGCGTTTGTGACCACTTGGTTCATAAATCAAGCACAGATGCTAAGCTAAAAAGTAGAAGTGTAAATAGTGCTGAGTAGTTTACTAAACAGCCCTGCTTGATTTTTATCGCATATATCACCTCCCATTCTTTGATAGTGGCTATTCTGATACAAAAAAAAAAAAAGAAAAAAGAAAAAGCCTTGCGTGTAAGGAACTATGATATGAAAAAATCAGATTTAGGAAACTCAAGAACTCATCAATGACCGCTAATGGTAATCGAAGTAGCTAATTGTAAATTAAGACACGCTACTTTGACATATATTTTGTGTTCTCATGATCTTACTTACTTGCTTGGGAAAGTCATTATTGGTTTGACAAAATCTCTTTAAATATTCTTCCTTTTTCTCAAATTTAAATGCAGTTTTCTTAATTATTCTAACTCGTTCCAGATTTGTAACCAAGTATAACCATAAAAAGGGCAAAATGACACTCAAAATGACGGATGATATGGTTTGCTTGCAGTACGACACGGATCAGATACAAGATGTAAAGCGATTAGAAAAGCTTACAGCCACTTTAATGAGGCATATTGTTTCCAAATAGATTCTTATAGTTATTCGGAATTAATGAATTTTATAGCACTATTTTTGATTCCATCTGACCAATTTACATTTCCGAATATAAGTTTTGCATAAAGTAGAATCTTTTTTTGCTGTATGAACAATATGAGTGAAAATCAGTGCTATCCACATTCTAAAGAGATAACTACATCCTGATCCTGAATTCTCACATGTATGAATTTAACTGTCGTTGATGAATAATGACTGTAAACCTTACGCTTTTCCTTACGGTTTGATACTGTATCTCAACATGGTATTATATGTACTTGTTGGTTTGAACTATTTATTTTTTCTTTGTTGTTTTGTAATTGTTGCTTACCATTGTAATTCCTTATTTGTGTTTGTTAAAAATTTTGCGTTGTCCATTTCTAATGGGCATCTTTATATCCACTGTAGGATTACATATATTTATTGGTCGAGTCTGTTAATGAAATCTCTTTACTTTCTAATTTGATTAGAGTATTATATAGGTAATGGATTGTT